CCCCAAAAAATGCGCGAAGTTTATAGGCATCAAGGAGGAAACCTCTTTCATGGGTAGTCTATACTTCTGTTACTTTTCTATTTGTCAATATTATTATACTCGAGTAGTTACAGTTGTGGTTGCTGTTGTATTAGTTCAATCGATGGGGTAGGCGGTTGCAATCGGTCAGGATGTCCCAGTTCTTAATCTCGCCGCGAGTAGATAACGGTCAACTTACTTCAACCTCCCTTGTTCAATTTGTTCGGACCCAGGTAGGTGAACAAGTCAACTGTGCTCTACAACTGCTAACTGTGTGGCTGAATAGAAGTATTCTATGGGTGACGGTATGGACAATACAGACAGCCTCCCTAGCTACCTGGACACCCTTCTCACCCGGACAGCTAAACCCAAATAAGAAACTTTCAAGTGGTTTACATGGATGATTGAGGCTACTGTGCTGATCGCTGCTCATTTCCTTATATCAAGCCTACTAATCAGCATCTGTCCGGGTAGCCTGGGAGACTGTCTACCCCTGAGTGCTTTAAAATTAGTAATTCTCCAACTGTTCTACTTGTATAGACTTACAGTTTGGCAATCCAGGATGGATTCACTAAGCTGGAGGCCAGGGTAGTGATTGGCTTAGACAAGAGCTTACAAAAGAGCTTGGTACCAATAAACGATGCGATAAATGATGTCCACTTGTGGAATAGATGGATAGTAGGAACCATTGTCATGGGTGTCTTGTCTTTCGATTCTCCTTCACAACTCTGGGCTAACCATCGCACTAGATTATGTTAAAAACTGACATTTATGACAGGTGCACAGAAGAAAAATTGTTTGAAAAGATTCAGGTTTCTGGATCTAGACTGATAGAGTTCGTTACGGGGCCTCCGGGGCCTCGAAAGCTGTGGGCCCCTGCCCCCGTTCCCCGCCCCGCCCCGGCGTTTGGCCTGGGGTGCCCCCCCCATGTGGGGCCCTGCTACTGCTCCCGGCCAATTTTATAGCTCGGAGCATGGGCAGGGACCCCCGATGACCCCCGTACAGGGAGCGGGGCGGGGAAGTGGGAGCAGGAAGATACCCCATACTCGCAACGGGGTGGGGTGAGTATGTGAAAACCCGCCCCGCCCCGCCCCGAAACGAACCCTGTCTAGAGTTGGCACTATGGTGCACGATACTGAGGACAGGCTTACAAAGTTGTTTGAAGATGCTTTATTTGAACTTAAGGTTGAACTAAGGTAGCGGAACTTGAAAAAGAAAATACCTTGTCCAATCAGGACAAGAAGAGACGTTAAGGCGCGGGTGATGTTTATAATTATTAATTACCAGTAGATCCAATGTCTTTGAATCTGTGCCAACCTTTGCCAATGCCTGTGCACACTGTGTCCTGTTTCTAAGAACGTCTAAGGCCAATTATCAGAGAATAAACTGTGAGAATTACCTCCCACTTGATTTTTTTTTCTTCCAAAAACTGAATTTCCCCAAGGTATCATTAGGGCAGTGCCCCAGAAAAACCATCAAATCTTTACTGTGCAAGGTCCAGAAAGATTCTTGCTACCCTATCATGCGGCACCCTCTCAAGTGGTCTATTTGACCCAGTGGTGCACCGTGTTTCTTCCTCGTACGTATCGTACGACGTGGCGTGAAAGGGGGGGTGTCTCTGTAGGCTTAGGATTGGAATGTAATCGCGTTCCAGAAGACTACTCTCCTAGGGGTTGATGGTGCCTGATCCGCGAAACGGTTTCATGATGAAAATTCTGAGTCAAACTTCTGGCCGACAGACCTCGGTCCCGCTTCTTCTACTACCACTACCGACCCACCTGAATAAGTCGGGTTTTATAACTTCGACCAGTGGTGATATCATACGTGAATTTACTTTTTTTTTGGGGGGGGGGAAAGTACGGTCAGTACTTTTATGGCGTGAGAAATGGTATGATAGAAAGGTGCTTTTGTGGTAAATGGCCATCTTGAGAAGCCGCCAATCCACTTATTTTCGCACAGGGGAATGTTATCTGCACTTGCCTTGAGGAGGCGACCTCTTTCTTCTTCTTTTTTCTCTTTCTGTTTCTCTACTGCACTGTCGCTCGGAGACTCCACCCCGAGAGGCATGGGTCTGGAGTCAGATCCTGCCTCATCGCGGCGGCACCGATTCACCCTCCAGCCTGATCGAACAAGGCAAGAGCCTTCACTTCAACCTCCCAGCCCGCACGGGATAGGCTGATGATTTCCCCACACCGCCTGGCGGATCGTTCGATTATCTGATGACTAGTTGTCAGAGTGGAGTGAGCTCACCAGACCTTTTCCTGCGAATTGAGCTGTTGTTCCTTAGCCTCCTAGGAACCTTAACAACTAGGACCATTACCGAGTAGGTATCTCGCGCAATACCAGTGCAGGAGCGTGTGCGAGTAGATACATTCTGCGGGCAAGGAAGATCATAAACCCTGATGACTAAAAGCTAGCTACAGGATCCCCTCAGGGTATGCAAAGGAGTACGGGTGCTCACACCTGGAATCTCAGCGATGAAAATGGTGGGCTTGGCCGTGAAAAAGACAGAATTTGCAGGAGGCCACGGATTATAGGTGTTGGATATACGACTAACGCCCGTCAGGTACGCCATGATACTCAAGTATCATATCAGTGCATTGATGAGTCGTATCACATAAGAGTACTATGACATGATATCCACGAAATCTGGTAACCCTATTTTGGCCATTACTCGTGCGTCCAACTTTCAAGCCGGGCGCCCATGCCTGACCCCCACTATTCACAGTGTCCTCTATCCGTAGTACAGTACAGCCGGCGGCGGGAACGCCGTGCTCTTATGTAATACTCACGTTTTGATTCCGGCTTCAGCATGGCATCCACATGGAAGGGGTGACATCAGCTGCTCACCTCGGTGTGATATCACCACGAGCATCCCGGAGCCCCCAAGGTTTCACCGCGCTGCCACATCCCCTTGCATTAAGGACGGCAGGGATAGCATTACTTATTATCACTCAGGTTGAATTTCACTTTGCAGAGGGTACTTTTTGTAGGTTTGCACCTGCGGGGTGGGGTTGGCGCTTGTTTGAGTTGCTGTTGACTGTCTGGTTGTTTGTTTGGGGGGCTGGAGTGGTCTTGTCATGGGGTTATAGGGAGAGAGTTCCCCAGGGGAAACTGCCCAGGTTTGAAAGGTTGAAAATAGCCATAGTTATGATTGGTATTATACATGCTGCTATGGAAGGCTACACAACACACCAGCATAACCTCTCTCTGGTAACTTGTGGGCGAGGGGAGGTTTGATTGCACGTGAATGCACATGTAATGGGTTTGGCTGGCTGTGGTGCTCAATATATTCCCCAGAAGGCAACCGTCCTAAAGCCCCGATAAGTAGCTGCACAGTTTGCTTTATACTAGCACAGACTATGCACAAGGAGAATTCGTCCTTATGAGGGGACAGCCTACAATTATTCCAAGCCTACCACATCAACCATCAGATCCACAACAACGGCTTTGTTCCTCCCAGCATGTCCAATCCCTTTTCTCCAAGGCTGCATAGGAATCGCAGCGTTGACCAAGCAAGTCTCCTCCCTTTCCGCAATCCGAGTTAAATCGACCTTGAACAATTTTTTACTCTCTGGTGCAGGGTCTGAGATTTTAGTAGTGGAGAGTTCCTTGTACCGAATATGGGGGGATTGGGTATCCCATTTAACCACTTCGACGCCTCGCCCTTGGTGGACGTGGCCGAACACATGCAGTGCCGGGCGGACGTTCCAGAGAGTCTGCCGGAGACACTCGCAGCCGATTTTGGGGGCCTGTGGGCTGTCGAGGTGACATCTTGGCGGACCATGGGTTACCATAACCTGAAGAGTTAAGTTTCTGCAATTATTCAGTCGTACGAGAGCGAACGACAAACCTCTGTATCTGCCGGAACATCAACCCACAGACTCTCGTCCAAGCAGTTTGGCTCGTCATATCCGAACCCCCACAAACCACTCTTTTTGCTCCAGGGCGAGCCAAAAACCTTGAACGTTCGCCCATCGTCCAACACAACCCTCTTGGCCTCGTGATTCAGATAGACAATACCCCGACTCCTCGCTTCGCTACTAACGAATAGTTTTAAATTATCCTCATGAGACTGGGGGTTACAGTTGTGGAAACGGTCGCCGAATTCTTTGAAAAATAACGGGTCGAGGGTGACCCCATCGTGGTTTCCTGCCAAACTTACCCAGTTTAGCCATATTAAAATCACCAGGGTTAGGGCACCATATAACCAGCAAGCACTATTTTCACCTCGTGTTCCAGCCCACCCATCCACTCGACAGCTCTCTTGAGCTCTGTGTGGGAACCAGCATTGGTCATGTCCCCGGCGTGGATTAGGACATCTCCATCCGGAGGCTTGAATTGGATGTTGTGGGTGTCGGATATGCAGACTATGCGGATTTTCCTGCGGCCTGAAGCTGGGGGCCGAGGGGGTGGAGGTGTTATAGGTGCAGGAGTCGCCATGGGTGCTTCGAAGATGGGATTTGTGAGTCGTGTTAGATTCGACCCACTTGGGGATAGAGGGGTCAATGTCTGACAAGAGGTGGGAGGGTGAGGCGGGGCTGGGAGCTGTGGCTTGAGCATCCCAAAGCAAACAGGTATCGTACCATACCGTATCGGTAAGGTATCATACTCGTGATTCATGTAGCGTTAATTCTTCCCGGAAACACAAGGAGAACGGTAAGTTACTGTAGATGTGGAATCTGTTTTTAGACCAGGTTACGGTGCTCGTTCATCCTCTGACCGAGGGTGTCGCCGGATTATCACGCGGTTGCTGTGTCCTGGATGCCCAAGTAGACTACCGGTAATAGGGTGAGGCTGCTACGAAACCTGCACCAAAGGCACAATGCCGGTAGGCCGAATCATCCGTATAAACATCGCATTGAAATACTGGTAGGGCACGGGGGTGATGCGTGCAATCGAATGAGATGCCCAGAACCGAAGCTCCAGACAAGTGCGTAACCAACCGGTATCCCTTCATACGTTTTCAAGCACTTTTCTCGAACCGCTGCTACGGCACCGGTAACAGCGTTGAGGGGCAGGTGAAAATCCCCTGCCATCGTGACAGATCCCCGCAGCCTACACTTGCGGCCTTTTCCTATCCGTTGCTCGACCGTATTACATCGTTAAATTTTCGTGCTAAAATCTCCGCTTTTTGCAGGGAGTGGTGTCGTGGGTAGCAGATTTGTTAGGGACCACCCAGAGTGGTCCCCGTGTACTTACTAATACATTTAGTCTTGTGGTATCATACCTACCGTAGGAAACATCGTCCCCCATTCCGGATATGATATACGGTATCAATTACCTGATAAGATCCAGATCTGATGCCCCTTTCGGGAACAGAGCATCTACCGGTGACGGAGTCGGGACGGCAACCCCTCAGCTGCATCGAACACCGGTGCACGTCACACCATCCTCAACACTCTGCGATAACCGCTGATCAGATTATAAGATTTCACGGAAACCCCACAGCTAACCTTCCCGTTATCAGCTCGGAAGTTATCGTAGTCTTCCCGCCGACCGCCAATATGCCTACTACTCTCTCGACTCTCGTTCACTCCGGGCCTGTCCATCTCCTCGTCTTCGGCACCCTTTTGGGATCTCAATTCTACCAGGTGAGCCGCTTGTATCGCCTGCCCCCCCCACGCAGAAGCTAATTCCCGTCTAGTCATTTATAGGTGGAGTAATGGCCTACAAAGCTCTCCCCCGCCCCCAATTCTCTCAACTCCAACAAAAGATCTTCCCAGTCTACTTCACCCTCCAAACCGTTCTCCCGGCCGTCCTCCTCCTAACTCATCCCTCCATATCGCCAGCCTCCCTCATTAACCCCTCGTCCCCACATTTCTACAATACCGGGCTTCCCCTGCTCATTGTTCTCGGTGCCTCTCTTGCCAATCTGTCTGTGATTGGTCCGGCCACCACAAAGATTATGCGCGAGCGTAAGATTCAGGAGACCAAGGAGGGGAAGAAATATTATGATGAGGGGCCCAAGAGCGAGAAGATGGCTGCGTTGAATAAGAGGTTTGGAGCGATGCATGGGGCCAGCAGCTTTATTAACCTGGTCGGATTGTTGGCGACCGGCTGGTACGGTGTTGTTCTTGGGAATAAAATCAGGTGGTAGCCTGACTGAGCTTGTTTTTTTGAGCTGGGCGCGGGCAAAAAGGGCTGGGTCGAAGGGGTTTTATCGGGAGCGTGCAGTCCCAATTGATGTGCTATTACTGATATCACGTTTGTATGATATGCTATGAAATGTAGGACTTGGTGGTTTACTCCCATGCTCTTGTCGCGATGCGGTATTCTGCTATTGAAGTACCGCCGGTGGCATTATTTGATCCTTGAATACCCCCGGGTTCAGTATTGGGATGAAGGGAGCGGGGTTACTCGAGTACTGGTAAAAATAAACCGAGGCTTGGGACTCAAATTTATGGACCCCCCTTAGAAAGCCTAAAGGGGTTCAGAAAATAACGGTACGGGTAAGAGATAAAAATAAAAAAAAGCAATGAAAGCCTACTGGTGATCCCCTTGTTGCCCTCAACACTACCACCCGCATACCGTACTATCGGTACTCGAGTACCGGGACCGGTGCCGGTGTCTCTGCTCCACACAGTTACCTCAAGTTGAGGTGCAGCTACTCGAGTACGGGGAGGGACTACAATACAGTATGGGCTAACACAGAGAAAGCCCCCCCAAAAAACAGCCAGAACCAGCCTCGGTGAAACACCCCCACTTAGTCACGCCAAGGCCTTCTTCGTAACATTGCCCAGATCGGATTCCGGGACGGCGCCTGCCAGTGTCGAGTTGTACGGATAGATCAGTGCGGAGACGGTACGCGCGGTCGCGCGAGGGGTGAATCATATTTTTCACTCGGGAAGAGGCTCCTAGCCCAACAGATATCTTCCTGAATGTGTACTCATGTCATAGGTCATGTGAAAATGGGCTTGGTTAGATGAGGTGAGCGGTGTCATGGAAATTTACACAAAATTTAATGGTAGAGCCTATTCCAGCATGGCAAGACCCTTATACAAATTCACGTGACCTATGACTAATTCCAGCAACATGAGTATTAGGGTCTTTCTCGCGGGAACTGTAGGCGGGTCTACCGTTCCGTTCAGTGATGATTTTAACTGGAGAAATTGTTGTCTTGGCATCCGAGGAAACGCTCGTTTGAAGACTACAGTACTGTATGGGGAAACGGAACGGAACCGTCGTATCCAAATAGGCCCTTAAATGCATGGCTCTTTTAATATATGAAGGTGAATGGTAGTAGTATATTTGGTTGTTTGTTTTCGAGATGTGCCGTGCTTTATACGAGTTATTTATTACATAGTTGCACGATTTCGTGCCTTACAAGTTGATTGTTCCGATCATCGCGACTTCGAGTACCCCGTGAGGCGCCCTGCCTGAGTGGTCGCCTCCGCGACGCTAACGCTATCACACGAACGACTCCACGAACAAAGACAGCAAACCACAACACCACACACATCATTTTCCTTCCTCCTCCCTCTCCTCCACCTCCACCTCCACCTCCACTACAACCCTCCTCACTTTGGCCCGGCCCCTCAAAAAAAACACCGCCAACGAGGAGAAACAATATCAACATTAAACATGCCTCGCAGAGCGGTTATCTCGCTACTAGTCACTGGTGTACGTTAACCCTCCATGAGCAGGCTCTGAGGTGTATTGACGGAGCTAACGGGACGGGAATGTTTAGATGCTAGTGACGGGCGTTGCGAACACTTTGTTGACAAAGTATCAAGACATGCAGTGTGTTCGTAACTGCGAAGACCCGGATATCTCCAAGCGGCGTGTTTTTGAGCAGCCAGTCATGCAGACGTAAGCACCGTTACATACCCGTCCAGTTGCGAGTACTGTGTGTGGAAAGACGAAAGCTGATTGGGTAAAATATAGGCTACAGATGTTTATTGGCGAGATGGGTACATGTTCACGTTCTTGGGCTGAAAGCAGTTTACTGACTGTAGGTAGGCTGTTGGTTGATCATCGGGCTCTTTTCCATTAAACAATGCATTCGCAATCGCCAGCGCAAGAGCGCTGGGTACGAACCTGTTGGTGCGGGAGATGATGCTACTGCTGGACCCGCCGATGGGACTTCTAGCCCGAGCCCTGCTATTAAGCCGTTGGTAGCTAGTCTTGACGGGCGTATTCCAATTTCTGGGTTTAGGATCTTTCTGCTTGCCATTCCGGCTTGCTGCGATATTGCAGGAACTACGTAGGTGGTCTAGTGATTTGAGATTGGGCCTTTGACTGAAATTCTTTAGGCTTATGAATGTTGGGTTACTCTTTGTTGCTGCGAGTAGTAAGTCACCGAAAACTGTTGCGCATTAACTCTGCTAACCGGGATATCTTAGTCTACCAGATGACCCGTGGCGCTCTCGTGCTTTTCGTCGGTCTCTTCAGCGTCCTCTTCCTCAAGCGTCACCTACGTGGTTACCACTGGTTCGCCCTCTTCGTTGTTGTGATTGGTGTTGGCATTGTTGGTCTAGCTGGTGTTCTCTGGAAGGAGGAACAGCCAGTCAAGGGTGATCATATCCTGGTTACTTCTACCCCGGATGTTCCGATTGCTGTCAAGACAATTATTGGTGTTCTTCTCATCGCAGGGGCTCAGATATTTACCGCTACCCAGTTTGTTGTTGAAGAGTACATCCTCGAGCACTATGCCTTGGAACCCTTGAAAGTTGTTGGCTGGGAAGGAATCTTCGGATTCCTTGTCACTGCCATCGGGATGGTGATCCTCCACTACACCATTGGGCAGACACCCAAAGGACAGTATGGCTATTTCGATGCTGTCGAGGGCTTTAGAGAGATTACGCAGTACAGGGAGGTTGCCCTCACATCGATCGCCATTATGGTCTCTATTGGTGGATTCAATTACTTTGGTATTTCTGTCACTCGTTCAATCTCCGCCACAGCTAGAAGTATCATTGACACTTGTCGCACCTTGTTTATCTGGATGGTGTCTTTGGCGCTTCACTGGGAGAGCTTCAAGTGGCTTCAAATTATTGGATTCTCCCTCTTGGTTTACGGCACTTTCTTGTTCAACGGTATTTGAACTCCTTTGTTTATAACACCGTTTTATCGTCTAATCGTTATTTAGAACTCACTCCACCACCTTTCATCTTTTGCCTTTCCACAAGATACAATAGACGAGAACTCCGAAGGGAGCAGCAAGAGAGGGAGAGGGCTAGACAAGCTTTGCTTCCCGGAGCCACTGATTAGGCACCATTAGGTGTCGAAGAGCATACCATGCTAACTGGGCGGTGGTTGCGGCGGGGCTTACTGGAGCGCTATGAGATCTTGTTCCCCTTTGTCTCCCCTGTTTTGTGCTATGTTCGTTGGTTCGTTCGCTTTCTTATGTGATGTTCTGAATGGGAGTGGAATTTCAGCTGTTGGGCGCGAGGGTTTGAGATTGACAGATTGATCGTTTTGAATTGTTCTAAATTGCTGCACGTTGCACTGGGGAGGAAGAAACCAGAATCCGGATGGTCTACGCACCCGTGATAAATCTAGACATTACTAAACTAGAGAATGCATATCCTTCACATATGCTAGTAGTTTGCTTAAGCCCTGTTTGGCAGGAATGGAACCGTTCGTGACTGTTCTGTTTCAAAACAGTTGCCCCTGTAGAAACGGACCACTTCCGTTCCCTAACGGTCGACTTGACACATTTCGGGACGGAGCAGTCGATTTATTCCATAGTTGCCAAACACCAGTTCAGTTCCTTCCGTTTCCAAACGGAAGGCAACGGTCGTATCCAAATACCCTTAGCCTGGGGTTTCAAATTCTTACAGTACTCGTGTATCACACCCGTACTTGCTCGGACGGTCCGCTATCTCCGGCAGGGCTCTTATATACAAGTAACTAGAAAGAATAGTGTCTGCCTGATGGGGTATGGCGTGAGCTGTCCGAAACTTGTACTCCGTAGATCTCATGCACTCGTGTCCGTAATTAACTATACCGCATCAAGAAAACACTATTCCTTCCCAAGCTGTTTTGTCTCTCACTGCAGAAATTACGGGTAGAGATTGCCGGCGATAGTGGATTTTCCCAGTACGTGTACGGTAGATACGGGTATGATAACAGTCTTGGGGGAAGAGAAGGCCCCAGCCCTAGCTAGCTACTTGTATTCGTACTCGAGTATCATACCTGCAACCATCAGCAAATAACGTAACCACCCCCCGCGACTCAGACTCGCAATGTGAGCCTTGTCAAACAACGCCTAACCCTATCAGGCATAGTTAGCGTGATCACGACTTTTGATTCACGTCTTCCCAACCACAACTCAACGCGTTCTCCCATTTCTCCCATTTCCACCCCCGAGTTCCCTCCCCAATACAGTGTATCCCGTCAAATCCATCCGCTATACCATCGCCATCTCCAACAAATACCACGGGGAGAAGAGGAGAAGGAAAAAGAAAGGAGGAAAAATGGCAGACAAACAAGCGACAGTCTACGTAATAGACCTTGGTTCGACCCTCTCCCGCGTGCAACCCCCGCGGAGCGAATCCGACCTGGACTACGCCCTGACCTACATCTGGGACAAAATCACCGCGACCATATCCACGGGTCGGAAAACCGATGTGATCGGCGTGGTGGGCTTCCGCACGGAGGACACGGACAACACCATGGCCACGGCGGACGGCTACGAGAATATATGCGTTCTGGCACCAATTGCGCAGTTTTTGATGGATCACTTGAGGGATTTGAGGAGGGTGCTTGTGCCCAGTCGTAAGAAGGGGAGAGGGGGGGATGGGTTTTCGGCGATTTGTATCGCCGTGGATATGATTATGAAGTATTGTCGGAAGTTGAAGTATATTAGGAACATCGTGCTCGTGACGGATGGGCGGGGGGAGTGGGATGATGAAGGGTGTGAAGACATTGTCGGGCAGATTCGGGAGGAGGGAATTAATCTTACAGTGTTGTAAGTTTTTACCCTCTTTCTGGTTGTTGGGGGCGGGGAGGAGGGGAGTGGAATTGGGGCTGATGTTGATGTGGTTTTTAGGGGTGTGGATTTCGATGATGAGGAGTATGGGTTTGTAGAGCAGGGGAAGGATCCTAAGAAGGTGGGTTCTTGAATTTTTTTTTTCTCCCGGGGGGGGTTCGCTGACTGTGATGACAGGCACGGAATGAGAAAGTTATCAAAAAGATGGTTGAAGGGTGCAATGAAGGTGATCAGGAGTTGGGTGTCTTTGGTACACTTGCAGAGGCTATATATGAACTTGGGAAGCCGCGGTTGAGGAAGGTTCGCCCGGTAACGTCGTTCCGTGGGGAATTGACGCTTGGTAATCCGGGAACATATAATACCGCCTTCTCCATCAACGTCGAGCGGTATCCCCGCACTGCCATCGCAAAACCAATCAGTGCGAGCTCATATACTGCCAAGACTGAAACGCCAGGCACTGCCGGTGAAGCATCTGGCGATGGTCCAGTGTCGAAGAGCACAGAGTTACAGGCTGTCAGGAACGCCAGGGCATATCAAATTGAGGACGAAGCTGCCGCTGGGGGAATGATGGATATTGAGAAGGGGCAAATGGAGAAGGGGTATAGTTACGGAAGGACGGTCGTGCCGATCAGTGCCACTGATGAAACTATCACGGTTTTGGAGACAGAGCCTGGGTTGCAGATCGTTGGGTTTGTACCTGTGGACAAATACAAGAGGTATTTCAGCATGTCCACTACGAACGTCATTGTTGGAGCCAAGGATAATCCAAAGGCTGCTATGGCATTGTCGTCGCTCATTCATGCACTTTTCGAATTGGAATCATATGCGCTTGCTCGACTGGTTACTAAAAAGAATGTTGCGCCGGTATTGGTGCTTTTGGCGCCGTTCATTGATGCGGATTATGAATATCTCATTGATGTTCAAGTTCCGTTCGCTGAAGATGTGAGACATTATAGGTTTCCATCATTGGACAAGGTCAAGACTGTTTCCGGAAAAGTTTTGGAAAAGCATCGCTTTCTCCCAACACCAGACATGGAGAAGCTGATGAGCGACTACGTTGACAAGATGGATCTCATGACGGCAAATGATGACGAAGACGAGCCTGAATATGCCACTGTGGACGAAACCTTCTCGCCCATTCTTCACAGGATAAGCCAAGTCGTGAGATGGAGAGCTATCCACCCGGACGACCCTCTGCCACCAGTACACGAAATCCTAACTAAATATGACCACCCACCAGAAAACCTCCTCGAAGCCTCAACCGACACCCTGAAAAAATTAATCGAAGCCAGCGATGTGAAAAAGGTAGATCCCAAACTCGCCGGCCGAAAGCGCGGCCGTGATCAGCCCGTTCCCAAATCTGGCCTAGACGTTGAAGCCCTCCTCAGTTCTGCCGCTCCTTCAGTCTCTAAGAAGGCAAAGATCTCATCAACAAATCCGATCCCAGACTTTAAGAACAAACTGCGGACAACGGAGGATCTCGCCGATCTCGAGGAGACAGGGAAGGAGATGCTCGCTGTGCTGAAGGAGCTCATCAAGTACTCCCTCGCAGACGTGAATTATGGCCGTGTATGTGAGATTTTAAAGGTTATGAGGGAGGAGTATATCGAGTATGATGAGCCTGGGGTGTACAATAAGGTTTTACAGAGTTTGAAAGAGGCGATAGTTTCTGAGGAATTGGATGGGGATAGGATGGAGTGTTGGGATGAAATTCGGTATAACAAGTTGGGATTGATTACTAAAGAGGAGAGTGAGAGGGTGGAGGTTGACGATGCAGAGGCTAGGAAGGTATTTTTTTTTTTCTCCCTGTCTCCATGAAGTTTGCGGTATCATGTTTGAGTTGATTGCTGACTCTTGGGCTTCGTGCTGTAGTTTCTTTGGGGTTGAAGAGCTGACTTGGTGTGGTATGTGTTTACGAAACATATCCTGTGATAGTGTTAGGTGGTGGGGATATGGTACATAGCTCGAGGTGCTTCAAGGAGTGCCGCTAACCCTGATGCCCTCGAGCGGTCATTGCGGCGATGCGGTTGTACTCGAGCAAGAGAAAGCGCTGGTTTAACGTAAACTACCGTGATATGACACAGGTCCGTGAACTGACACACGGGTTTCACCGGGGCTCCCGG